ACATTTTTACTTAGCCGTACGGGCGAAAGAAAATTTGCCCTTAAGAAATATAAACGAAACTCTCGCGTTGCCAAAGCAATAAAACAATACGAAAAAAATCAAGGGAAATCACATAGAAAATCAAACAGTGGGGAGTGCTCGAATTGTAAATATTCTGTGCAACTAAAGCTAAAATGAAAACAACATAAATTTAATATGTAGCTAATCTTTGTATATATTAAATAAATATGAAAGATAATCAAACGGGAAAAGAAAACCTGATCTGAATGGCATCAATATTAAAGATCTGTTTGGTTAAAGGCTAGGAGTCTGACAAACACATTCAATTAAGTGAATTGAAATAAATTCAGTTTTGAATAATAAAAAATGACATATTTTAAGAAACTTGTACAGTTACAATACGCCTTATTAATATATTTATATGGGTACAGAGTATACAAAGTGCCAATACGAGTGTAATATAAAACGAAAATTATCGAAAACTAGAGGGATATACGATTGGAAGCGACCTTGGAAGCGCTCGTTGGGGCTATGGCCGCCAGCTGAAAGGAATTAAACTAATATTTATCAAAGAGCTGAGCTAAACGTGCTTCAGCTGAACAAAAGCAATGACAACATGGCCGGCGCCAAAGCAAAGTGGCCGGAAAGCATCAAGAGAATATGAGGCAACGACTTGAATGAAAAGAAAAAGAGACGGACACGGTGGCAGACACCAAGACGGAGATGGAAACGGAAACTAAGAACTGAACTGCAGCGTCATGAAATCCGTACAGAACTAAGAACAGTGACGCTGTCAAGTTTGCCAAAGCCGTGATGTCAAGTTGAATGGACGCAACGAGCAGGCTCCAACCAACGATTGTGTGTGGAAAGTAAATGGTTGATGCGTGACACAAAAGTTGAAGCCAACTTTATGCTAATTAGCAGCTGCTAACGAGTCTGATGCGAATAACTCTACAGCCAGAGCCGGGCGAGGCCAGTATTCTAATGCCACGCACCTGCAGACCGAAGGACCTCTTGTCCTGCACACAGTCTCTTATAACGCAATTGCTTGCATATCTAAGCTGCATAAGTGTGCGCGCTGCGACACATCTGGGGAAGACTTACGTATGCCACACCCGCAAACACATATAAATACACAGTGGCAGCCATTTTTTTCAGTCTTCTTTTTTTTCCCCGTTTCTGCCAACTTTTGTGCAGTTTCATTCGCAGTGTTGGTGGTGACTGCATTTCGCGTTTCGCTTTTGGAGGTGGCGCAGCTGTTTGTTGGCTTAGCAACAGGAGCGCATTGTTGACATCTGAATTTTATAATGTATGTGTATATATATACATATACATATATATATACATATATATTTATATATATATATATTTATAAAGATGTGCTTTATATAGCTCTTTGGCTTACTTTATGCGAAATTGCATTGAAATGGCCAAATAAAACGACTATAAATATGGCCATTGTGCGGCTCGCTCAACTCGGCTGCGACTTGCAGCATCCATGCCGAACAATGCGCGCCCATAAATTACCTAAATTGAAAACCATTCTGCTGGCACCCTTCATTTTGGTACAGTTCTTTCTGTACACTTGCCAACAAAGATTCCCCCACTAAAAAAAGAAGACAGTAGACACTCGCCACACTTTTATATTCATTACGATTCATACAGACCGCCAGTTGTATAATACACTGCACTTATGCAGTTCTATAAAAGGGTTAGTTGGCTATGACAACAAATAAACACGATATATGGATGGAATTATCTATGTGATATAGGAAAATAATCTAGTTATAATAACGTTCCATAAGCACAATAACTCAAAAGTGTTTCTGATTTTCAAAAAACAATTCATAAAAATAGTAATTATAATTATAATAACAATACTTATAAATTGAATACAAAGTATTTGACTTAAAATTCATATTTCGCTTGATTTATGCTCAATTTAATCAGGTCTTAATAAACGCTTAATAAACGTGTATATTCAAATATTTTTTAATAATTTTCCCTCTTTGACGAATTTAGATCAGACATAACACAGGTTTCGAAACGAAAAGCTCAGGAAATGAAAATAATATTCGGTTTCTGGACGGGTGGGTGCTTTTTATGCAACTACATATATCTTGTACAAATATTTGCAAATTCAAATAAAATAGTTTAAATAATAAGGCAGGCAATTTGAGTGTGTTTTGAAATTCACTGAAAATTTGCCTTTGTTCATTGTTATTCCCAGTTTTTTTTCGCAAAGCTTTCCGTTCGCAGCGCGCATAAATATGCAATAGAAACTTTTCTCACGTTTTTGATTGCATTTTTTGTGCAGCGTCATAAATATTTAATGTGTACTTTAACCGGCAACAACAACAACAACAACAGCAGCAACAGCAGTGTCTGTGGCAGCGGAAGTGACAGCAATGAATGTGGCAGCCTCTTTAGCTGTAGTTCTTTGATTATTTATCTGTATAATATTTTGCGAGAGTCGCCCTTATTGCTTTTCGATTAAACTGTAAACAAAAATGGCAAAGCAACAGCTGGTCTCATTGAGTTGATGTCCTGAATTAAGCCAGAGCTATGCCCGAATCGATTCAATTTAATATCTATCAGCCTGTGGTAATGTTTAACTCTCTACAGCAATTGAGGACAACCCGCAGGACTGTGGGCTGTGAGTCTGATATCGGAATTGATGTCATCAGTAGTAAGATGATTGCGCTCTGGTTGTACGTTGACCAAAAAAGCCACTGGATGCACTTAATTAACTTAATTAAAAATCTTTTGGTCTGGCAGCAGCTTGGCAGCAAATACTCATTACCAGCAGCATCATCGTCAGTTTAATGCCGTGTGTCGCGGTTGAGATGAGTTGAGGCACCGCAAAGCGAGTCACTTCCAGCTGAGCTCATATACGAGTGTGTACTATGTGCGTAATAAGCGAATCGTGGCAGTAGTTGGCAGTGCTGTTGCCACCATTCATAACGCTCATGTTGCATGCAGTCGCCGTCTCATACGAAGCGTAAACTCAATTAAAAACAGAACAGTCGAGCAGTTGGCGACGCGCACCGCACTGCACCACATCGCAGTCGTACCCACATTCTCACCACACGCTTGCAGACTCCTGATGACAGAGCTTGATTATCCTTTTCGCGCCTCGACCTGGGTCCGTTACACATCGTGCCACAAATTTTCTGCTGCATGTAAAATACTTTTGTTTGTTTTATTTTTTATTCCATTTTCTAACTTAATATCAGCTAATTTGTTTTTGTTTACCAGCGGCTTATCCATTTGCTGCGGTTTGGGGTCTTTGCATTTTCATGCTTACCTCATAGAGAGTCCATTATGATTATAATTTATGCATTTCTTGTGTGTCACTTCAAACTTACATTTTAATGGCGTTTTCACGTTATTAACTGCACAAATACTTCATAATTAAGGGAAATTATATTTCCAGCAACTCTTGTAAGGCAAACTGGGAACTATCCAAAGGTAATTTCAATATCCGTACCTTTGAAAATGTTTAGGATAGCTAAAGGGCATACAAATTAAAACAATATTTTAATCGCAAAAAATAAGCTAAGATTTGCGATATAGATTAGCCTTCTACTACAATAAAAACATATCAATATATTTATAAACAGTGCTTTATTTTAACCAAGACTACTGGGTATTCAATACCTACGTTCTTTATTTCTGATTGTTTTTTCTATATTTTAGAAAGTTGCCTTAACATTTTCCTATATTATGAAATGTTTCAGCTGATATTTTATAAAATTAAAATGTGAGCTATTTGAAGCCTTTCTACGGCGAAGGGTATAGTTTAATATTAATAATAATTAAATTACTTAATATTCTAATATTTAATGGCATACTAAACAGATGTAGGCTATTGTCAATGTGACTTCAGGGTAGCCCATAGTCGGGCACTCTGTAAAGTTAATTATGTATGTAAATTGTTGGCTTAGTAGAAGCACATGTAAATCGTCTATTGGTTAACAATGTTGTTGGCAGTGAATGGAACTAGAGGGGAGTCGGGGCAATAAACTGCTGCAATGTTACCCCATCCGTCCTTTACGCCAAGCAACAATTATCTGGTAGATGTTGAAAAGCCAGCGTAAATTGAGAGATTGTTTATTGGCGCGTTTGTAATGCGAGCGAGTGGAACATGTTGATGTTGCTGCTGACAGTTGCTGCTGACAGTTGTTGCTGCTGGTTTTGCAGTTGATGACAGTGAGTCAAGAATTTTTGTTGTGAGTGCAGCGTGCCATGAGATTCTCAATCATCAAAAGAAGTTCTCGCAGCAGCAGCACCCCCTTTTGCAAATGGTTGCCTGCTTCTATGCATATATCCTGTGCCTACAAAGTCTCAAATGCGGGTAAGCGTGACGTTGACGAAGCGCATGCAACAGCTCAACTTGTTAGATGACATCGAATGGAAAGGGGCTCGTTTGGAATGCGGGAGAAGGCTGTGCGGCACAGTGGGCGATGACATGGCGGTTTGACGTTGTTGCAGTTGCTGTTGTTCCTGGCAAATTTGTTGCTGACAATTTCGTGTTAGCGCTGCTCATGTTGTGGTTGCACATGCAGAGTGCATGCGCATCTATGTGTGTGTGTGTGTTCTAGTCGATAAATTTTCAATTTTGCAACTTACACAACTTATGCCCCATGTGCATGTGTGTGTATGTCTTGCCTTTAACGTTTCCGCATTTTAGCCGCACTTCAGCACAGCACACCATGGCGTATGATTGATGCCGTCTACAGAGTCTCTGCCCGTCTCCACACACACACACACACTGACAGCAGACAACTTATTATGTTGATATAACAAACAAATCCTTGCTGGTTACCACACAGACAAGTGTGGCGTGTGTGTGTGAGAGAGATGGGCGAAGATAAACTGAGTTTCAGTTGAAAAGTGAATGCGAGGCTTTACGCTAAATTATACTCTTGGCAAGCACGTGTGTTTATCATTAACGGAGTGTGTGTGCTTTAATTATATTATTTACTCTTTTATTTCAGGTGTCTCAATATTTAAGAGGTCTACAGGATAAGGAAGGCAAGGCTAAATAACAGGTGGGTTAAAGCTGTTCAAGATTTCACTAAAAAGTATTTTGCCCAGAACTTATTTATATATAAGAATAAATTCAGCTTACGCTAAGGTAGAACTAAATATTAAATAGTCAATATTTAAAGGCATTTAATAAACTAGTTTCTGTTACATATAGAAATTTTTACACGTCAAATTGAATGCACAAATCATCCTTAATTGTATCCAATTCGATCTTCATTTAAAAGGTTATTCAAGTGTTTTTTTTTTGTAATTTTTGGGCTTTATAAGCTTTGAAAATTACATTTTAGAGTTAAATAAGAAATTATGAAGTGTCTCTGTTTATTTTAACTGCAACAAGAGCCAAACAATTCAATTAGCACTGTGAATATTACTTGGCAGCCACATAAAATGGTTTATGACTCACTCTCTGGCCAGCATTTCACTGGGGACATTCATTGCCACCCTCTGCCTTCCTCCCTCTCTTTCGAAATTCCCCAAAGTTTATTGACTGACAAATTGTTGGCAACAAAATAGAGAATGCACTATCTGTGCAGCAGCAGCAGCAGAAGATATTGCATTATATATAGTATACGTGTACTATACGTATACGAAAAGTTGAAGCGGCTAAGTTTTGAGTGAAGTTCGTGGCAAGTATCTCTCAGGGATACAAAAAGTACAAGAGGAATGTGATATATTTTGGCAGGAATGCTTAGGAAAATACATAAATATATTTAACCCATTCCGTTGAGAAATAACAGCTAATCATCATTTTGTTGTAAAAGCTTTTAGCTTTCAAAAAAGTTTAAGTAGCCCGAATTTGGCTCCATTTGCTTGGATGATGTCACAAAGCGCCAAGCAAATAACTAAAAATCAAATAAATATCTCTGAAGGCCGTATACTTTATATAAATAATGAATGGTATCTCGCAGTCTTGACTTTTGAAAAGCGCAAATTTATGCCTTCGGACTTTGGCCAAGAAACAAACAAAAATTTGCTATAAAAAGCACAAGTGAAAAGGAATACAAAAATCATCATCATAGTCGCGATTTTCTTTTAGGCTTTTCCATAAGTCGCCGCCATTAATAATCACATAAAACAACAACATGCAAAATATGTTGGCATTGAATGCCGCTCCTGCTCCTACTCCTGCTCCCGTTCCTGCTTTATTGACAAAAGGAAACCCAAATGAGTATACATAAATACCTTTTTTGTGGAACAGGAAGCTTCCAAGCTGTACCCGCAATTTATGTAATATTTAATGCTTTATAACGACATACGCACACACACATATTCTGAATACATATGCAAATCATATCACCCATATACGCCTACACGATGCGGCTCGACTCGACGGTATGCAAAGCATTATCAAACATGAAACATGAAACACCAATGAAAATGTCAGGCAAGAAACAAACACAGCAACAAAGATAACAGTAAAGATAAGCAATTTCCCCGTTTCCAAATGTTTTTACCGTTAGCATCTCTACACATGTTTTGTGCTCAAATTTTATTATGCACACAAAACTCACACACACATTCAAATACAGGCTGACGGCCCACGCACACAGGCAAAAAAACACAAAATGCTCGCATATGTCACTGTGTAGGCATTGAATGCACGAATTAGTTTTACACTACATTACAAGAGCGCGTAAAAAAATGGTACAAGAACATATTTTTTAATTTAATGTATAAAAGTAAGGTTCATGTTGAGATAGATTAGCATGAGAGGATATATAGGTAAGGTGTTAGAAAACAAAATTTTAAATTGTAAATAAAATCTTAATTAATGGTAGGTTTGTCTAGGAAGAATTTGTGCATATTTGGAAAAGGATACAAAATTGTAGAAGTATGATAACAATTTTTTTTTCTTTATTTCGAGGATGCATCTTTTTGAAAATTCGTAGGCTTCTAATGTCAAGTTTAATATGCGATTAAAATAATTAAAGGGAATATATATATCGCGATGCTATTTTTTTGAGATATTAATCTTTAAATATTCAAAGAGAAAATATATAATGTCAAGTATTGTCTGATTAGGTCTTAAAATATAATATAACATTTTCTCGTCTTTTCCACCATTAAATATAATAAAATATTTCTTTGAAAGTAAACATATACAGTTTCTGAGTATGTTTATTATGCGACTTTTAACATTTTCCTACTTTAAATTTAGGATTTATTTTGTTCGAGGTTTTAATTTAAATCCTTAGTGCTTTTAATATAGCTTTAATATTGCACAAAAATTCGATTAAAATCCTACAATTTTTGAATCTTCTGAGTCGATTTAAATCATAAAAAATATTTTTCCTAAATTAGAGTCAATATCATTCGATTTTGTATGAGTTCTTGCTTGACATAAAATTAACTCGTTTCATAGTTACTGGTTGCCTGGTGTAAGTGCGTTGGCTTTAATATATGATACAGAATGAACGCATTCATTATTTACAGGCAAGCCAAAAAGAAAACAAACCAGCAGCTGCTTGACACATAAACATCAAGTGCGCAACAAGCCTTACACCAAAAAAAAAAAAAATGTATATATGTATATAAACATATATAAAAAATTTGAGGAAAAAAATATTTGACGTCTGTTCATCCAGGGACGCGTCGTGTGGCAACCCCCAATGAAAAGGGCGCTAACGCCGACAGCGGCAATTTAAAATTGCTGGCTTTTTAACTCGCATCCATTTACAGCAATTTTGCGTGTAACCCCCATGCCCCAATCGGCGGCCCTGTGACGTGTCAGATTGAAATTACATCAGGCACTTGGCGAATGGCAAATTGGCAGGAATGCTGGCAAGGATAACGCATTACATAAATAAGCAACAAGCGAAGAAAAATTGAAAAAAAGGTTACAGACATGTTAAAGAAATCAAATTTTATGACTCAATAATTGAAATGTGCGCACGAGCATACAAAATTTGCCTTCAATCACGCGCGTTGCGTATACGCCGCGTTAACTAAGCCAACGATTTCTGAGATTTCCAGCCTTAGCTTTCCATTAGAAGTGATTGTGTTGGCCGCTCTAATTGACCAGTCGGCACTCTAGCTTCCCATAAAACTTGGCAACTTGAAGCATCCTTTAGTCGCTGTGTGCTCTTATCTATTGTTGCCGCCGCGGCGCTTTTTCGCCCACTTATTTCATGCATTTTGCACTGCAGCCACAAATCCGCCCGGATTTAAAAAGCTTTTTTCAACAAAAAGCAGTTTAATGCGCATGGGTGATGGTGCTGGAGGGAGGGGGGGTTTACCACAGCATTCTTTAGCTGCACGATGCCGTGGCGTCCGAAGGGTGCTGCAGGCCGCAACAGACAATGAAGCCACATAAACCCACCGAAGCTAACCAATCCAAAGAAACTGCAATGCATTCTCCTTCGTCTTTCAAGAATGCCTTCTGTGGCTTTTTTTTTTTGGTTGTTGCAGCTGCTGCATTTTTTTAATGAACATGTAGTTGTTTTTGTTGAAACAATTGCTTAGCATATCGGGGAAAAATTAAGTTTAAGCTCGCTGATTTTAAATGCATCTGATGGGCGGACAGCCTTAGATACGCTCAGCTTATTTAAATAGCACAAAGCAAATTTCCAAGAAATTACCAGCATCAGCAGACACAATAAAAAAGGATATTCCCATAAAGACAATTGTAGCAATTGACGGGGATTATAGCAGAGAATAGCAAGTATTGTATTTACTCAGATGCGAAAAATTGGGAGTAAAGCTGGATAAAAGTCTTGAATATTGTCACAACAGTATTTGGAGAGTTCGCTTAGCATATGAAATACAAACTTAAGGAATAAACTATGTCTCATTTATATAAGTTAGATCCTTATTCAGTTTACGAATATTCGGGACACCAAGAATGTAAGATGTTATTTTCTTTTCTTTTAAATACATATGTTTGTTTACTAAGAATATAATCCTTTTATTTCAAATATTTAAATATAGCAACTAATATATTTAGTATGCTTGATTTAATAACATATATGGCATGCTCATAAATTTAAGTTAACAAGAATTATATTTTTTTTTTAATTTTTAGACAAACTTGAGATAGTTTATTTACTAATCAAGAAAATATCATAGGCTTTGTTTCGATATTGTATTTAAATTTATTTTTGACTATTTATATCGGCCAGCTAAGAGGTTTCATCTTGAGGTTTTGGGGTTAAAACAAAAATATCTCAAATATTACTTTTAATATACAAGTTGCAAAAGACTTAAACAGTAAATTCAAAAGTTTTCGGACAATGTTCTTCCTTGAGCGTTGTGTATGTTGCTTAATCAAAGTTAAAGTTTAAACCCACTTTTTGCACTTGGCTGCAACAAATTGTTAGCACACCAATAACAGAACTCCTACATTTCCTTCTAACTTTTGCCTGCCAAACAGCCGCAACTGCATATCGTGGTCTTAAACTATACTTATTTAGCAACATTTATCCGTCCAGCTCCGGCACCCTTTCCCTACCGCTGCAGTCTGCTGCGTGTTTCCCAGCAGTTTCCCGAAAACCCTGCAGACAGACAAACACAGAAAAGTTTCGAAGCGACTGCGGCTGGCCCCAAGACGCTGCCACGTCGTTGGTTGGCTTTAGAGCAAAACCAAGGAAACTGCTAAATATTTGAAAAGTTCTGCAGAGCTGAACTGAGGTTCCTGCAAAAATGTCAACTAGTGTAAAACTTGCGGTAAATTGCTCAGGGCGTGGTCGCAAAGCCAAATATTGCCAGGTACATATATAAGCGACAGCCAAATAAGTACACACTTAAAACAAAAAATTGCTCATACGCCACGTTGGCAGCACACAAACGCTGTAGCCAAATTATTCATGAGCCGCTGGCGGCTTAGAAGCTTTTTAATATGAATAGCGGAATATCCGGGGAGGGTATAAAGATGATATAATCGTTGCCAACAATAATTGGGTGCATGCCTGGCTTTTCGGCAAACTGAGAGACACATAATTAAATTCAATTATTTATGTCCCTGTCAGAGCCGGCGCAGATACCAAACTGCGATTCAACATTTGGGACATCAGGACTTACGAGCTGTCCGCAAATGCTTAAAGCGGCTTACAGTTTGTTTGTTTGTTGACCAAATAATTGCGCCATTTTCTGGCTTGCCAACTGACTGTCACTTGTCTGTACCCAGTAACCCACCGATTCGCGCCTCTCTGCCCGGCCGCCCATTTGCCAGTTGATTAGCATAATCAACCAGCAAAATTAGTCGAGCGCATTTACATACTCGTATGCAGAATAGTTCTGTTCACCCACACTCACACATATTCATACGTATATCTAGCTGAAAATTCAGCTCTTCATATAAATTACAAACTCAATTTGCAGCACATGCCTCATCAGTTATATGCAAATTGCTGAAAAACTCTCAAATATGAAAAACTCATCAAAAATAATAATAATAAACAGCACAAATTAATTGCACGTAAAGCCCAAATAAGTAAATATATATATTTGTGTACATTTTATTATCATATCAAAACACACACCAACAGTTTTCAATTCGTGCCAATTTCCCTGCAAAGCTTTTCAGTCGCTGCCACAAAAAAATTGAAAAAAAAAAAGAAAACAACATGTGTACACACTATGCGAATCGATTTTAAGTTCAAAATAAATATTTGAATTCACAATCTGATTTAAAGGGCTCAAATTAAAAATAAATCCCAGAAACTGGTCAAAAGAATTTAATTAAACCGATACGAAACTCATAATAGTGGAACGAAAATGATACTTTTAATTAACTTAATTCTATGCTGAATGTTTTTATATTTCTTTCAATTACAAAAATGTTTAATTATATTTAATTTTTCTAGCTTAAGTTTCTAGCGAATAATAATAAAATGAAGCGTGTGCGGTATATGTAGTTATTTTTAGTTAGGGTGAATTTTGCATATGCATTTAAACAAATATTTGTACGGTTTAATTAAAATTTGCGCTGGGCGCTTTTCCGCTTCATTTTCCCCGTATTTAAACCCAATCGCTTACTATTTGATTTGTGAATATTTTTGCGCAACTTATGGCACGTTCAATTTCAATTGGAAGCGATTTAAACTAATGTCTATTTAAAATTCTTGCCACGCTTGAAAGGACATGCTCAGGTGAGTTGAGAGCCGACGAGGTGTGGCAGTGCGGAGCAGCTGCAGCTGTGACAATGTCTGGCCGTCTAGACGTGCTTCTGAGCGTCGTCATGTGGCTCGATTGCCATTTTTTGGCTGACTTCAATAAATTTCGAGAGACACGTGAGGCCAAATGCGGTTGCCACAGTTGTTGCCAGCACTCGCCACATTTTGTACAAAATGTAATGGAATTCAATTAAGAGCGAAATGTATAAATTTTATTTTGGCTCGCGGTTTTCGGTTCGGCCGTTGACCACAAAAACTACCAGAGCCAAAAAGAAAAGAAATGCCAAACGCAAAATGCAAGCCAACAACAAAAACAACAATAAATCTGCCATTTTGGCTGGCTATTGTTTATTTGTTACGCACATTCAAGTGCTGCGAATGGAGGACGTGGGCGTGTCTGTGGGCCATTGGGACGGGCAACGCAAACAATTTAATAATGGGAAATAGTATGAAAATTAATACAAAAGGACGCAAGCGGCAAGTGCGGTCGCTGCCTTCTGCTTCACTCGCTTAATATGGGTTACATCAGGAGGATGGAAAGATGTTCAGCATGCTGATGAAGCAGATGATGATGACAATCATTATGTTGATGCAGAGAAAAACACAACTACGCTTAGCCTGCGGGTTAGGGAAACTCAAGCGGCTCTTAAGTTTTTTTTTTCTTTAAATTTCTTCAAAATTGTAACAACTGCGACCTGACATTTGTGCAGAGGTGAGGAGTGTGGAGAGCTTGTGTGGGACAAAGAAAACTTTGAAAGCCTTAAAAGTTTACAAAAAATATTCTTAAAGATGTGTTTTCTTAACACAAAAATATAGTTAACAAAATATTAATATAATTATATTTTTTGCATGTTATTTATTTATTATAAATTTTAAATATATTTTGTAAATTTAATCAACAGCTTTGAGATAAATATTATTCGATTCTTATTTTCTTCAATTTATACGTAATAAGGAAGACACTTAAATAGATTTTATATTAACAAAATTATTTTGCTTCCATTAAGAATGATTTTTAAAAGAAGCTAAATGGAAATTATGGTGTTTAAAATCTTATTATTATGATATTAAATTGTATTATATTTCTAAAGTTCCTATATCAAACTTATGTACAAATATTGTGTAATCATATTTGAAGTGTGAAATTAAATTCTCTTCAATTATTAACCACATCTAAAACTAATTTAATCAAGATATTAATGTCTCTACTTACAGCAACGCAACAATCAGAGAACAGCAAGGCGGTTTCAAGAAACATCCCAACGAACTCAACAGACATCTAACTACTTATATGTAATATAAAGCTATCAAAATACGCAGAAAAAATACTGATTAAACTTATAGTACAGCAGCACTAACGACAGCAACAGTACCAACAAGAACAGCAACAGCAACAATTGCTGGCAGAAGCCGTGAGCACAAAACATTTATTAAGCTGACCGCAAATAGCGCTTTATTAAGCATACGCTACGTTAGCCGGCAGCCGGGGCAGAGAAGCGGTCGGACAAGCGCACATCAAATTAGTAATCAAGCATCACAAAAGCAACGCCGAGGGGTACGCTGTATACGGTTCACGGCGTAAGCCTTAGCTCACCCGGGGTCTGCTGCCTGGCAGCTCAATGCGAGGCAGACGAAACTAATAAGACGACGACTTTATTTTTATTGAAATTATGATTAATGACAGGAATATTGCACGACGGCGAAGAGCAATCAGCGCGTTTTAAGCATAGCCACGAATTAAGGGCGAAAGCCCATGACTATGATGATGCTGACAATGATGGTCATCAAGTTAATGATAATGCTGCGGTCAGGGCGCGATTTCTGACGCGTATGTCGAGCCATGTACAACAGAGCCATGGAGAAGACATCGCAGTTAACGATGAACTTAATCAAAGACAGTTTAGTGGGTGACAAAGCTGTTGCCGCTGTTGATTGCCAGCGCGCGAACAACTACTACAACAACAACAGCAATTAAAATAAACTATTGCTCATACGACGCGTTGTACAACGGACTAACTAATTTAAAAGCAAGTGAAAGTAAGAGCTCGAAAGAAAGTATTTCGATTTAGTTCTTGAAAATTTGATGGCTTCGCCTGGGCAGCATTGCGCCGCAGCAGCCGCAGCCCGTAGACGACGCCATCAGCAACCACAGCCGAGCCACAATATCAGCAACAACAGCAACAAACTGATATCCATAGCCACACTGACGCTGCTCATACTCTGCCTGAGCAGCTGCATCGCCTACGCAACCGCAGCAGCGACAACTACGACGGTACAGCCAGCGACTCGGAGCAGCAGCACGGAAATCGGTAACCTGGGCGAGGATTTCAACAGCAGCAGCGCCTTTTTGGGCGCCATTGCAGCTGCTGCTGCCGGAACGGTGAACAGCAGCCCCATTACCATTGTCAGCTATCAGGGCATCACGAGCAGCACACCAAATGGCAGCAGCAGCACGCTGGTGTCCATGTCCGATACGCCGCTGCTGCTAGATGATCTGGCCACGGGTGAGGAGTTTGAACTGCCGCCGCTGCAGTCGGTCATTGTGAGCATTGTCCTGCTAATTGTTATACTGGGCACCGTGGTAGGCAATGTTCTCGTCTGCATTGCCGTTTGCATGGTGCGCAAGCTACGACGACCCTGCAATTATTTGCTCGTATCGTTGGCGTTATCCGATCTCTGTGTGGCGCTGCTCGTAATGCCCATGGCCCTGCTCTATGAGGTCCTGGAGCGCTGGAGCTTCGGCACTCTGCTTTGCGACATTTGGGTATCGTTCGATGTTCTCTGCTGCACCGCCTCCATACTGAATCTGTGCGCCATCTCCGTGGATCGTTATCTAGCGATTACCAAGCCCCTCGAGTATGGCGTGAAGCGCACACCACGTCGCATGATGCTCTGCGTGGGCATCGTTTGGCTGGCGGCCGCCTGCATCTCGTTGCCCCCACTGCTGATACTGGGCAACGAGCACGAGGATGAGGATGGCCAGCCCATATGCACGGTGTGCCAGAACTTTGCATATCAGATCTATGCTACGCTGGGCTCCTTCTACATACCCCTCTCAGTCATGCTCTTTGTATACTATCAGATCTTCAGAGCCGCACGACGCATTGTGCTGGAGGAGAAGCGGGCCCAGACGCATCTGCAGCAGGCAATGAATGGCACCGGCTCACCGCAAACGGCCACAGCGCCCGCATTGGGCCACACTGAGCTGGGCAGTGGTAATGGCGCTGGTCATGGACATCGGCACAGCAGCGTGGGCAACACCTCGCTCACCTACTCCACCTGCGGCGGCTTGAGCACCAGCGGCGGCGGCGGCGGTGGCGGAGGGGGCGGCGGCATTGTGGGCATTCCTCATGGCCATCATGGTAGCGGCGGCGGCGTAAGCGGCTCCACTGGGCTGCTAGGGTCGCCGCATCATAAGAAGCTGCGCTTTCAGCTGGCCAAAGAGAAGAAGGCGTCCACGACACTGGGCATTATTATGTCCGCTTTTACCATCTGCTGGCTGCCATTCTTCATACTGGCGCTGATCCGGCCGTTTGAGACGATGCATGTGCCAGCGTCGCTCTCCTCGCTCTTTCTCTGGCTGGGATATGCCAATTCGCTTCTGAATCCGATTATCTATGCTACTCTGAATCGTGATTTTCGCAAGCCCTTCCAGGAGATACTCTACTTCCGGTGCTCCAGCCTGAACACCATGATGCGAGAGAATTACTATCAGGATCAATATGGTGAGCCGCCCTCCCAGCGGGTCATGCTAGGCGATGAACGGCATGGAGCGCGCGAGAGCTTCCTGTGAAGTCAATGGATCCCTGTATGCTTGGCTCCTTAAATTTCTATAACTGTTTGTGTATATGTGTTGTTCTCTAAACGAATAGGCCAAAACTAAATAGTGTCTACTGCTTGGCAAGGATTGGTAACGATAGAAACCTCACCCCCCCTCACCCCCACGTCCCTTCCACACACATACATACACAGAAACACACCCATCCATATATACTATGTATGAGTGTAACTGTTTACCTATGAGTATTTTTTGTATGAACGCAAACCCATAAGTACGATATATGATAAATGATAAATGATGATTGATAAATGATATATGTAGATGACTCCTCTAAATGTAACTGAACGTTGTAATTTTTAAATGTAACGCTAAGCAATTAAGTGGGCTGAAAGCAACAACCACACACTACATACACCCACCCAACCATTCACAACCAAAGCAACAAATGCACACGAACGCATAACAGAGCTGTAAGCCTATCGATGTTATCGATATCTGCTTCTAAAGTTTTCTCACACTGAAAACCAAATTAAAAATCGTAAAAGTATTTGATATGGCTTGGACATTGCTTAATAAGTCTATCGATTATAATCGAAGCTATCGATAGTTTTGCAGCGGAAAGACACTTAAACACTCACATAACAAGACGGTTGTACCACTGTTAACCCAGAACAGGTTTTCACACGGTTCCTTTTTATGTTGTTATTTCCAAAATGAAAAGCCGATTACAATCACAATCGATATCGAATCTATTGAGCCCACAGCGAGCGTAGTTTATTTGCGATACTCAAAACTGAGCCAAATTTAAATTTAATTAAGCACACTTAAGATATTGTGTCAGCTATATAATATTAAATATAAGACACGAGTTATATAACAATATATAGTATACCATATCGTCATGCATGACAAAATGTGGTCTATTAACTGTCGAACTGTAAATAGGTAAGTGCTATACCAAAGAGTAAAATATATATAAATATATGTATTTGCATATGTGTGTGCTGCTCCCAACTGTCTCAGAATGTATATTTAGTATGCTCTTGTAGCTAAAGCTCAATACTAAATCATATTTAAATGTATGTATTTATTAAAAACTTTCTGCATTATTTTTTAAAGTATTAATTGTGTTTGTTTTTTTTTTTGTTTTTTTGTATAAAAGTCACGCCTCTCTGTGATACCAAACCTTAAGCATTAACTTTTATGTTTAGATCAACTGCATTATAATATTAAATACTTATAATACTAACTAATTACTGCTAGTATATACGAGTACGACCTACACATATAGATACTATATGCTATATATATATACAAATATCTAGTCTGGTTAAGTCTTTTAGGTGTGCGTGTTTTTATTGTACGTATGTCTACGTTAAACATATGATATTCAAACAAAAATTGAGTTACATGTGTGTAATGTATATGTAATTTAATTTTGAAGAAATGGAGGATAAGAAAAATACAAAATTACCAAAAAAATAATTCCTCCACAAAGAAAGAAGTACACAAACACTCACACACATCCTAAATACAATGAAAAGAGCATTATAAACTAAGCGCATCTAATGCTAAAGTTCAGTAAAGAATTGAGAAAATAAGTTTAAAAATAAATAATAAAACTATATGAAACTCTTTCGAGTAAAGCTTACAAAACTGTTAAACTGCATTTGAATTTGTTTTCCACAGCTGCAAGTGCAAACTATACACAAAATAAAAAGCGAAAATGCATAGAAAAACAAATAAATAGTGAGAAAAATTAAAGCATCAAATTAAAGGCAACCATATAAATGTAATTCCAACAGATTTTGTTATTTATTTAGTTTGGCTTGTGCAACAAATTAGCTGCATATCATATATAACTTTTTAAAACTTTTCCAACTTGCATGCAAATTGTGCATTAGAGGGCAAAATATGTAGTCGCATTACAAGCTAACAGATTATTCCGGAGAATTTTCAAAGTTAGTTCAACGGACCAATTAACCCTAATTTGGTAAACTTTTTTTATATTTAGCTACTTATCTACATATCCAAAATAGCTGAAGATTATAAAAAAATTAAAAGAGCAAACCAAATAGAATGAGCTCAAACTGTTTCATTTTTTTATTGAGAACTATGAGCCACCAATTTTATTTTCACTGCGGGAATAATCTCTTATAAAACCTAAAAATACCATATTGCAATTATTGAGCTGTTAATTGTTACCTGGATTATTAACTATGTAGTGTAACGCTATTTTTTTTTAACTTGAATGCCACGTGTTATTGACAGATTAATCCCATTTTTAAATCTTAAATGGGGAATATCATGTAGAAAGAAAGGCTAGCTTTGCAATAGCGAAGTTAAATGAATGTGAAAATATCTTGGCTGAAGATTATATATTTCGGTTCTATTAAAAATAAGTAAAGGGGATAGTTTGTTTACATTCTTAACTTAGAGTAAAGAAAACTGGTTAAATTTCGACTGACCTTTTCTTTGTTATAGAGCTATGTATATTGGTAATTTGATTTTAATTTAACATGGATTGATCAGATATCTTTTAAGAAATAAGTTTTGTTTTACTAAGCTCCATTTATGGAATTAATACATGCACTTTTATTTTAATTATTTTTGATGATTTTTGTATGATTTATGAAATATGATTATGGTTTAGGAAAATTTCCGCCTAGCTGTAAATTATGTACCTGCAACAAATTTAATAGATTTTTTAGTTTTTAAGAGAGATCTCAAGACCGACAAATTATGTAATTGTATTGTTTTGTTTTTGTTTTTTATTTATTTTTTTAAGCTTTTTTAACAAACAATGTAGCTCATATTAAGCGTTTTCGCTTTATTTTATATTTCTTTTATTATAATATTTTATATTATACTAGCGGGTATTGCCCGGCCTTAACCGTGGACAGTTTTGTGCTACACATTTTAGATATACACGCCCGTGGAAAATTGAAACCTACCCAATTCTATTTAAAAATATGATTTAAGTGCATCGAATAAAGAACCAAGCATTGGAATCAACGACATTAGAAGAATAAACTTTCGTTAATTAAAGCTTTGACCCGCATTAGCCGCCCAAGAACATATCAAAAAAATTCTCACAAAGATCTTTAAAAGTGTTAAATAAGTTTGATGCGAATCGAACAAAATTTAAAACTTAGGCCAACAAATTTTTAATATGCATTTTTCACCTCGGTAGCTTGGATTTTGTGAAAAATGTGAAACAAGTCTCAAATGATTTTTCGTATATGTGGTGGAATTTCCCGAAACCCAGCCTTAAAGCGCACCTTCATCACATAAGGTAACTACAGTGAAAATTTCAGCTCCTACCTCTTACGGTTTGGACTGATCACCAATCAGTCAGTCAGTCAGTCGGGACAAACAGTTTTATATATAGAGATTCCTGTATATTTTATTTGTCTTGCTAAACATCGTCCAGAAATATTGTCTATAACATGACAGCTATAGTATATATATACACGCCTTATTAAATGGACAAAGTTTAAGATGTGGACTTTTCTCTTTCTCAACACGAATGTGTATATTAATAATGATACCAGAAGGACATTTTTTCATGCATTTAACACCTTCTGGCCAAATTGAAATACCCTTATCTAGAGTATGACATTGCACAAGCTGAATGCAACATTTTATGCTAAATGCTAAAAAATGCGGGATGCAGATTACGGAATGCAGCTGCTGCCATGTGTCAGGAACAGTGCTGCAAAATGTCAACTAAAGGCACGGCTTAACGGGCTGTGAGGACTAACAAAAAAATGGGAAATATATATATACATACTATATATCTCTATATTTATGCAGTGCTTATTTGTTAGTCAGGCTGACAAGTTGAGCAAACGTGTGAAATGCGCGGAAACGGAAGTAAAACCAAGGAAACATGGTGAAAAATATCAAACAGAAAATAGCAAAAAGCATGAAAACAACAACAAACAGCAGCTGGGTCGGAAAGGCACGACGCGCGTGGCATGCAAATGCATGTATCTACGTTTTTGTGTGTATTTAAGTGTGTCTGTGCAAAATTTGAGACATAGTTTTAGTTAGACAAAAACTAAAGCAGTAGCAGAAGGACCTGCCACTTGGCTGGCCATCAAGTGAGTGTGTGTGTGTGTGTGTGTGTTATGGGCGTGCATTGCGCCGTAGGTGGAGCCGCACTCTAAAAGGGTATGACAATGACAAAGTGATCTTCCGGCGCCAACGACTAGCTGCCGACTGTTGTTGCTGCTGCTTGCTGATAAATGATGATTTTACGCCCGCTCGTTGCCCAGCCCCAGCCATGTTACAATGCCACTTTATGAGCTACGCCGTCTGGAGACAGAATGGCGGCGATGCCAAGGACAAGCAGCGCAGCGCAGCGCGGCGCATCGCAACCCGCCACCCGCATCAGCCGCATCATTCCATGGCGTATGTGTGTTCTATTTGCTCTGTTCCCTGTTTTTCGGCTACTTCACCCTGCAGCTAAGTGGATTTTATATTCAAATAGCAGTGCGCGGGGCTATTCAAGAAAAAAAAAAAATCCCTGAAAAAATGAGCTGACGATTGCAGCGAAATTACCGTTGCTGCTGTTTCTATCGTACCGTATCGTATTATCGTATTATGAGCACTTGAGACATTTTTTTTTATTATTTCGCTTCTTTTTTTTTGACACTAATGCGACGTTTATGAAACATTCGCAGCAGCGATTCATTGTCAAATGATTGCAAAAAGAGCGAGAGGGAGAGGAAAAGGGAGAAAGCGAGTGAGAGAAATGAAAAACAGTTTGGCAATTTGGAAAAATACGCTTATGAAAATGTCTGCAATTGTCAGCGTTCCCCAAGGAGCACACAAAGTGCTAACAACTATTGAACCATAAATCAGTAGAAACGTTCGGAAATGTTTGGAATATAAAAAATACACACACTCATACACAAACTACGAGCGTGGGCAAACTGCCAGAGCAGTCAAGCAAAATAATACAAAATAAGAAGAAGAATACAAGAGCCAAGTAAGAGTGCAGCAGTCAATACAAGTCGATAAAGATATACCCTGGCTTAATGCAAGAAAGTGACTGATAACATGTTCGATAATCGATAGTGTGTTCGAACAAATTGGCAGCACTTTGAAGTGAAAATTACCTAAAACGAGATGAGCTCGAATTTCAGCATTAGAGCTGGCACCACTTCCGCCCTCCACTCAATCCCACAATCCCATATATATTTTGGGTCAAAGCTCTTACGTTTCATCTTAAATTCAATAAATATAAGAGCAGCAATATACTTATGTCAACTGCCATTTGAAATAAATAGATACATATATATTTTTTATATTTAATAACTCAGTGAAGAAAATAGGTATTATCTATATGGGTATGAAATTTAATCAATTATTATTTTTATTTGTCGGGACATTTGAAAGGATATTACAGTAAGCCTGCAGTAATTGGTGGGTTGTCTTAAATAAAAAGGATCTGTACCATATTATACAGTAGCTATTGCTAAGCTAATTTTAAATCTCATTTTGTTCAACTTGAGTAAAACTTTAAATTGTTGCATATACAATTCCCCCGTTTTGACAGCTGCTCTTTGATATATAGTATTTCCAGCCAAGAGATGTTCATAATTACAAGCCCTTATCCAATAAGTCGAGCTAGATAGACTTTAGTGTCAATCACAAAATATTCTGAAACGAAATGTTGGCATTTGAACATGTAACTAAATATTCTGTATACGTAGCGCGTGCCACAACAATGCCACAAAATGTATGCAACGTCAAATGAAAAGCTGAGTAACAGAATCATGAGTTCACACACATACACTCACATACACAAATATATTCAAAAACAAATTATATTTGAAGTGCCGAAAACTTTATTTCAACAGCGTCTGAAATCTGTGGTAGCTACCTGCCACAACCCGCTCGCCGCGCGTCTGTCAAAATATTTCATTTAATGCGCTGTCAACCCACGGGGCTTGCGTCACCCAAAAATGAAGAGGAAAAAAAACAGTGAAATATCTGAGAATTTGTACAAAATTAAGTTGATTAAATGGACTTAGCAGCGCGATTACACGCAAGCCTGCATGAGAGCAGCCTAAAGAAGCGAAACGCTGGGTGGGCGGGCTGTGATACGCTTTGCGTGTTGTTTGGGCTTGCGAGTATTCTTTTCATGGACAAAATCCCAACAGCGCAACAACAGAGAGACAGGAGAAAAAAAGGAAGGAAAAATGTAAAAGAAAATAACATATTTTTCATTTCGTTCCCTTCATATCGCTCTAGCCATTGGCAGGCGGACGGCCAAGTGAGCAACGAGCCGAAACTTTGACCATTGAAATCTCTGTCCCATGGGAGCGCTGGGCCTCAGAGCCATTAAATGGCGCATGATTAACGCTTTGCTCTACAAGACAATTGATAAAGAATAGAACAGCAGCTGCCTGACCAACGAAGAAGAAGCAGAGGAAGATACTTTAATCCGCCGGCTCAGCCGGGAGTCGAAAACAAAAGTCTATGCAGCTCTCAAAGTGCTTCACTAAAAGGCAAACTAACTTTCTAATGAAGCTTGTAACAGATAGCGAGATTAATGTTTGCTCGTAAATCTATATGAACTACAATCCGTTATACCAGAAAAACAAAATTTTTATAGCTACAACTATATCAATATATATATATAATATATACAGCTGTTTGTACTGACTGCCCTGCTGATTAATAGACCACATAAGCTAGGAAGCTAAAATTTGTACAGTCTTAACCTCCTATGACGTAAGTGAAGATTAAGACTTTGCCATTGTTGTGCAGTAAGGCTTTAGTAAAATCAATGTGTAGCTTGGTCCATTTTCATTCGATCGGCTGCGGGCTCATTTTAAGAGATCTTTGTGAAAATTTATTGGGTACATGTTTCAAGTTATACAAAGCACACAAGCCCTAGCCTCTTTGCAGCATGTTTATTAGTATAATAGAATTATTTTAAAAATAATGTTAGGGTGTTTTAAATTCCGTTATATACAAGTTGCGCCTTCTCTTTCACTTGACAATTAAGCGGTGACGGAAACGGAAACTAACGAGCAGCCATGGAAAAAGAGCATTTAATGCAGCGTTTACATTGTTTTTGCGCCCTCGTGTTGCTTTTTCCCGTTGTTCATTTTGTTGGTGGCGGCTTTGGCATTGTTTTTAGCCAGCTCACAAAATATGCTGCGGGTTTCGTTCTGCCTCCCACTCCATATAGTTTTTTCTTTGTGCTGCTGCAAGCGTGCAGAATGATTAATGTGGCCCGGCAAAAAACAGAGGCATTAATGGGTGGTCAGTGGAATGCGCTTCAGTCGGGCGGCTACCATTCCAGCTACATTTTTTACGTGCTGACTTTACGCCGGACCGCGAGGACTTCAAAAACTCTAGCAAATTGCGGCACTTAGCGTGTACGCCCCAAAAATGTATGAGATGCCTGCACGTTCAGTGCAACAATCAGCAAAACGGAGACACCGAAATTAATGCACGCAGAGAGAGGGAGAGAGGAGAGAGGAGAGAGGAGAGAGTGTACAACACGGCGTATGATTAATCTGTTGTATTACACAATCTAATGGGCAGCTCGTGCCGCACTTGAAGTGAGCTGTCAGTGACGCAGCTCAAGCTGTAGCCGAGACAACTTGGCCAACTTAATTTAAAGGCTACCAGCTCCAGTTGCTGGCTTAAATCTTTATTAATATGCATAAAGCAATAGCTCGTCCTGTTCGTCAGCGAGCACCATGAAAAATGGTCGCCATTAGGGCCAGCAAATTTGCTGCCTTGTAGCAGCAGCAACAACAGCGACTGCATTGATTTTGCAGCACGTGGCTGCGGCTGTGGCTGCGTCTGCGAACACAAATTTACCCCAACCACATTCCATTTATGTTAATGATTTGGGCATTGCGAACCGCATTAGAATTTCATGTTGCCAGCAAATTGAGGCGCATCTCCGTGAATGAGCAACCATAAATTGCGCCCTGATTGACACGACTCGATTTGGTTGCCCCGAAATGAGGTTGAATGTTATGATAAATTAATGCGCAAGTCTGAAATTTGCCCGTGGTTCGTCCCAAGATCGTCTAGTCTGAAATTATAAAATTATGCGGAGCTTGCAAGACGTGTGCTTATTAGGCATGAAGTCATCTACGACCCCATAAGACAAATTTATTTTGAATCAGCATCAATGAATGCTTAATCTCAGAGTACTATAATTCAGTAGTTTCTTGAAGTTTACAGTAAGCAGATCAATTTTCTATTCAAATATTAATATTATCCCCGTTTTCCAAATTCGTAAGAAACAGACTAGAACCGCATTTTGATTTGATTATTCATTGATTATACTCCAAATTCAAAAATACCTTGTTTTGATTATAAAAATTAGTTCAGTTCAGCTGAAACACTTTTAAACAATAGGAAATCATAAATATATATACAAAAAAAAACTTCCCAACACTGTCACCCGAAAAACGAAATGTTTAAGAAAGTCTGTTGAGCATTTATTAGGCTGGCCTCGGACGTTACCACACAGCATGGATTTGCGTTACAATGTGGGCCGAGTGCACACCGCATTTACACGCGAATCACGGCACCATCATCAACACGACCACCATCAGGGGCCAGGAAGCCCGGGATCAACAGAAGCAGGAAATGCCGAAACGGTGGAAACACGGTCCGGCCAGGGATGTGGGCATGGAGGGCACGGCGGCTCCATGATCTTTCATTGTAGCGACAGGGAGACGATACTTTTCCAGTTCTGGACCACAGATTCCACGACATCGATTGTGCTCTCCTGCCTGGTCGTCTTTATTATGGCTATTCTATACGAGGCGCTGAAATGCTATCGTGAGTGGCTGAAAAAGTGCGGCAAGAAGCGTCAGGAGGGCGGTGATAATCGTACCCCCTCAAGAATGCAACAATTCAACACTCCCATTTCCGAGCCGGCTTTAGCTTTACCAATGCCCGAGCTTCCTGTGGCACCGGAAAATCCGCGTGCCGGCCCAGCAGCGCCCTGGCTATCGCCCATGCATTGGTATCAAACGTTGTTGCATATGATCCAGGTGACCATTTCGTTTTTGCTGATGCTCATCTTTATGACATTCAACGTCTGGCTCTGCATAGCCGTTGTCCTCGGCGCCGGAGTCGGCTATTATATATTTTTCGCACGCAGCGAGAATGTTTCCGATCACTGCAATTGAGCTAACACTCTGTTCGCCTCTCCTGTGCCCCTCTGTGTGTTGTCTGTGCTTTGTGCTAATGTATTTTTCTAATTAAACCATGTAATAAAAATATCAGAACAAAAGCGGCTGCCAGCCGCCCGGCCTAATTGTTCATGTTTATGACTCATAAAACAATGACTGCAGCTACCAAGAGAAAAAAACAACAGTAAAAACAACATCTGCAAAATTGGACAAAAAGCCTGGCCTAGTGGCCAAAGGGGCGTATACGCAATCTACGGTAAACAAAAGGACGCGGCACTGAAAGACACCGGCCACTTCCTGTTATCCTGCTAATTACATAAGTAGAGCCCGAGCAGCATCTGTTTCTTTGCTCTCGCAGTGGCAGTGTATAGCCGAATTCGTTAAATTTATAAGCGCATTATCTTTGTTTTTGTGCGGTGTATCTGTAGCTTTATGGCCGTTTTACGAGCACGCCCACATATATACATATACATATATATAATGTTTATATATATTTGCCTGCTCAGGTAAGTAGAACAAGCGTTTATTCTGTTTGTGTCTGGCGTTTTCATAATGCCGCAATTATGAGGGTGATAAACCTTTGGCCTGGTTTACTTGCGCTCTTCCAGTGGCCATTTATCGGCATTGACCAACATTCAATTAATATTTTAATAAGCTGCCTTTATGCCATTTGCCAAGCGGATAACGCAATTTGGCTTTAATACGCCACGCTGCACATGAAAGCATCATCGACTGTAATCTCCGCAACAATCGCAGTCGGAACGCAACTCAAACTGAGCCAATTCAGCTTTAATAATTTAAACACATGTGTGCGGAGACTCGTATTTATATGACTGCCTGTGTGTGCGTGCAGGCCGTAAAACTTGACCCATGCAACTGGCCGTGCAGCGCCCGGAGCCAAAACGGAAGCGGAAATGCGTTCATGCATAGCAATTTGACTCGTCATCGAGGACGGCTGACGGGCATCGTCCTTATCGAGCCAGACTAATGAGCCCACACGTACGCATACAGCTCCATAAGACGATTATGAACCATTGCGATAGTGAATTATGACTGTTTAATGAATGCGACACAAGACTCTGTTTTGCGAGAGCGTAGTAAACTATATCCGCAGGCTGAGCTTGTAAGTAATTATGTTCTGTTTAAGGATGGAAACGCTGTTCCTAACGTGAATATTGCCTAACTTGCATGCACACTCGGTAGTCCTCTTATTAATGTTCAACTTTTTAACAAAAGAAATTGCACTCTAAGACCGCGTTTTCTTTATAATTTTCTCGGATGAGTAAGAAGAAAACGGATGAAACTTTTTGGTTTCCATTAGATCGCCTTCAAACTCGTTTTCAAGCATCTTTGCGAAAGTTCAATTGAGACGTGTTTTACACCTTTCGCAAAAACTATTGAACGGAGAAAGAGCAAGGTCAATTTTGATCGATTTTTAGGCGTCAAGCCAACTTTTAATACCTGGCCACAACATTGATACCAACCTTTGGTTCTTAACTTAATGGACTCCAAACTAATTTTTAAATATGTAGGTGAAGTGTGTCCTGAAACGTGTAGTTTAGGATAGTAACTTAAAACGTCCACGGGCCGGAAATAGGTTGACAATTAATGTCTAATAATAATAGCCAAATGTAAGGAAAATATAACCCATAAAACTTATTCGTGTAGTAACATTGAGAATTCATTTTGCAAAACATTACCGGATGGCACACAGCAAACTTGGTATCATGGAGACGTAAGATGTTAAATAATATTCCCTCAAAAAAAGATCACCTTTCAAAATAAAGTCTTGCGATTGGGTATAAACACACTTTTTTATTATATATTTAAGTCCATTGCATAACGATCGGGCTGTAAACACAGAATTTATTCAGGAATGCATTTATTAAAGGATGGCGTTAAGGAAAGACGAAGCGAAAAATGGGCAGCTAGCAGCGTGCATGTGTGTATTTGTGCATGCGGGTATAGAAAGAAGAATACTCCCTAGTCGGGCACTCCCGAAGAGAGCACACTTTCTCTTGAGGCTGCTAATAAAATTAGAAAGTATGTAATGTTAAAAACCCATGGGCTGAGTTTGAATCTTGGTTAAATTAAATCAAACAGTAGGCATATATATGGCATTTATATATTACTAAGCAAATAATACGTAGTCCCCCTTTAAAATTTATATTCATATTTCTTCAGTTAATTTGGAGTTTTATTTGGGTTTATTAAATACAATAACATATTAAATTAATTTGGATTTTTGTTTATCTTGGCCCCTTCGCATTTAACTCCTGCTCCGTTTAATAATAGGCGTGGTATTATAGAACTGCACATCGTTAAAGTGGGCGGGCATGTAGGCGTAAAATGTGGCACTGGTTTGTGTACTTTGGTGGGCCTCCATGGCCGCATGAAATACTCGACCCATCTCCAAGAAGGATACCACAAAGTGTTTTGTATATTGGTCCCAAAATTTCTTTAAATTGGGACGATTCTCATTGTGGGGCACAAAGCCCCCGGCTGTAACCTTGGATTTCAATGGCTCTCGGCTTGGAATCCGCACAATGTCATGGGTCAAGATAGTTGCCAGATTATCCATGAGGAGTTGGGCCTCACTGAAGCTGCGCCTGCGATCCGCTTGGCTATAGCGTTTACCATAGCGTGATCGGATCCATTCGAGAAGCATTGGCACGCAATGCACATCTGGCAGGGTAGGCAGTACGAAGCGTCGATCCGCGGCCACACGCTGCAGCCCTATGCGGAGCATATCCTTCATGAGCACCAGATCATCCGCATCGTAGAACTCTTGACCAAAGTTAAGGCGCTTTCCCGGCTCACTGACTTCTGCTTCTGCCTGCGACTTCGCGTATACGTCCTGAAATAGGTCGGTGCCCTCCTTGAAGATGCGCTTGACTGTGCGATTCACAAGCGCATCTATTGAGCCACACTCACGACCATTCAACACCGCATTTAGGTAGTTCACATCATTGCCCAGAGCTTTAATAAACTCTACCTTCAGTCGCAACTCCTGGTCGTCCAGCAGTCGGTCCTGGTAGGGTGCAAAAAGCTTCTGATAGTCGAACCTGTAGAGCTGAGCATCCAGGCCCAGCTCAAAGTAATTGCTCTGAGTGGTACACTGACATGGAGAAGGCTCCTGAGCCTTGTCCTCCTCCATGTTAGTGTCCCTCAGTTGCAGGCTGGATCGTTCGCTCTGGCTGAGATCTTGCTTATCCGGCAATCTTGCATCCCCATCGTAAACTCGAAAGCTAGGCTCATGCTGATGCTTCTTTAATTCAACTACCTTCGGGCTGTTGTCCCGGCAGGTGGGCGGCAAGATTACACTGGTGTCGGACATATTGAAACCCACATCGGAATCACATCTACAGCTGTCGTCCTTATCCACCCAATCGGCTTCGTTTTTGCCAAGGTATATAAAGCCTGGATCATTCGGATCTTCAATTAGCTTCTTTCTATTCGAACCAAGGCCCGCTCTAATGGCCATTTCATGGAACTGCGCCCGATACCGTTCCGTCATGCGATCCAGGTCGTCCAGTGTGCGCTGGCGATTGAGCTCTCGCTGCCGGTGGCCAACATTTAGGAATTGTTCGTAACGCTCCTTTTTAATCCTCAACAGATTCAAGTGCAGCGACTGCTCCATTTCGCTGATCAGCTTTTGGTGCGGGTAAATGGGCTTCAACTGGCTTGCATCCAGCTGGGACGAGGGCAGGTTGGACAAAATCTGGTCCATCTCGTTATTAAGCACAGATCTGGCGACGCGTTCTTCATCGCTGAAGTTCAAGTCACCAAACCAACGTGACAAGATGGTGTAATGAACCAAATTAGGGATCACAGTGGGAAAACGAGCCGGTCGTTTCGATACCTGGGTTATTAAGCGCTGCTGGCGGGGATTAGGCAGCACTGGCTGCTGAAAATAGGGTAACTTGTAGACTGATTTAGGATGCTGCTGCAACAGCTCCTTGGCCTGTTCCTTCATGGGCTTAATCCTCAGACTGGGTTTAAGCCTGTAACGACGGTCGACGGCCTGGGCACGTTTCTGTCGCACTGCAGGCGAGTCATGCGGCAGCGGCAGCACACGGTCCAGCTCGTGCAGCGTCGGAAATAGATCTAGCCAAAATATGGCGGACATTATGATTTGCTCGTTGAACTCATATATGACTTCTTGATTCTTCGACTTGTAGAACATTTCCATGAGGAACCACAGAAAAGCCACATCGTTGCCCCGGCTCATCTTCAAGAGTAGACGCAGGCCGCTCCTAGCCGGCCGCGGACGCACGCCCAAGTGACACAGCTGATGATGTGCCCGATGGGCGCTACCCTGCAAAATATCGTCGGCCAAGGCGCGCTTCAACCCATGCGCAGCAGCCAACTGGTTATCGGAGAGTCCACGATACCACAACGGCTGCAGGCTTTTCTTCATAGCGTTCTGTCCGATGCGATCACGAATAAGTCGATGGATGTGCAGCACTTGCTGCATGGTTTGCGGATCATCCGTTAACACCATTTCGCTTAGATGCCAATTCAATATCACTCAACCAGTTAAACCTTAAAAGGAATCTAATTCAAAAAACAGAAATTTAATGTGCTGTCACAATTGATCAAAATGAAATAACAAACTGTATACGTACCAGGTCGGATCCTATTGGCAATGCCCTGTAGCAGGGTAGAAAACTTTGCAACGCCATAGAAGAGCACTAAATCAGGCATGTACGTGATAAAAATCTATTTAAGATTTTCATTTCTATTTCAATATATTCATGACAAGATATGTCTAGGATTTGGAATAGAGTTATGCAAGGAAAAATGTAGACAGGAAGCGTCTACCTTTTAAATTTATTGCTTAATTAGGAATTACTATTTGAAAAGATAAATATCAGATACTTGGGAGAAGATCTAATACTCTTAAATATAGCAAGCTGGAGCTAAAAGGAATATGAGTCCAATATTGCTTAAGTTTTATGCCACGTAATTTTTCGGTTGTATTCTTCTTCAATGTCGCTCTTTCAGCCAGACATATTCTCACGAGAGCTCAATATCTTTCAATTGGTCTTTATGCCATATTCGTAAACGTTTTTCCAAGACCATTATTTTTGTTTTCAGTTAAGAAAACGGAAATAAAGATACCCACAAAAAAGGTAAAAGTTGTTATCGAACCCAAGTCAAAGTGAGGCCCAACCAACAAATATTTTTAGACTCGCTTTTAATGGGCCTCTGCTTCATATGTGTGTGAGTGTGTCTGCTTGCTCTATTGTTTGTGACAATTTACTGGTCCTTTGCAGCCCGCAGAAGTACATCATTAATTTATTAGCAAACCAAATAGGCGACAACAATCAGGACTCAGACTCAGCAATTTGTTTGCAGGACACGCGCAGGACACACGTGTCGCCCACGATATGTGTATGTGCGTGCTTGTGTGTGTGTGTGTACAGCTTTGTTTTGTCAGCAACTGCCTGCGGCAATTTCTCGGCTGCTTGCGATTTACCGCGTTGCTTATAGGTACAGAGCGTGAGTTTACAATTAACTGGGCTTAAAACGAGGCCCAATAGCTGACCAATAATTTATGACTTTCTATATTCTACTGTCAATTAAATGCTTTGGAAAATGACAGCATTACCATTCGCAGACATCACGAGGAGCCTCATCGGGCGGCCCGGATGATTTATGCACCGCGTGGCTGACAGTTTTTGGACAACATTCATATATATCTGCGAATAGCCCGGCTCCACCCGCATCCTATTCTCCTATTCTCCTGTTCTAATGTTGTCTGTGTGTGAAGTGCTTTTGCTAGTTTCCTTTTTCCTGTCACTTTCTGCCTACGTACGACACGTGGCTAACGCCTGAAGAGATGCTTATGTTAATGACCCGAGCCCAAGCCCGTACCCCAACGCCAATCCGCATCTCTATCCGAATCCGGACCCGGCTTATAGCCCACACTCTGCTAATGGGACAATTGGCATGTGTTTCTGCCCATTTTCATGTGTTTTGCCTTTGCCGGTGACGCGGTGCCGGGTGTTAGATCTTAATAATAGATACGCCCGCTCGCATTGTCAGGTAAACTTTATCGCAGTCAACATATATCAAGGAAAGTGGAACACAGCCTTTTCGGGAAGGCACGCTTCGGGCATGTTTAATTTTTTGTGCCTCGTCCCCTAAAGTTTTTGCAGCTTTTCTGTATGATGTGTGGCCAGGGGCGCCAGCTCAGTTTTACTGCAGTTTTTACATCCTTTTATCGGTTATTAATGTCATGCCATAAAAATAAAGAAAAAATAAAAACAAATCAACCTGTTTTTGTTTGTCGAACTTCGGTTGACGATAAAAACAAAGAATCCAGCTTGTGGATACGCAAATACACTAACGAGCTGGAATAAGTATTAATGGCATAAGTATTAATTAAATACTAAATATGTTATCTTTTAGTTTGTTGATAAAATCGGCCTAATCAATCTAAGCGTATATGATATATAGAATTAGTATTTATTCATTACCAAATGTATTTTGTTTTACTGCTAAAGACAATCTCGATGACATAAAAAGTGCTGCCAATTATTTTGAAATTTTGAATAGTAGAAACCCTTACCAACAGAAATAATTTAATCCTAACTGTTTTTTTATTTTATTGTTGATAAAATCAGCCTATTATTTCTATACGTGTGCATTTGATCAATGAGTATTTATTAAATATTAAATTTATATTTTTTTTCTACCAATGGCAATCCTCAATGAAACTGAAAGTGCCGCAAACTTGTTTTGAATTTTGAAAGCAGCGCTTTGAAAATATGCCGAAAAAATTCTTATTTAATCAAAATGTGTTTCTAGCAGAGTCGAAGATAAAGATTAAACAATCTTATCTTATTAAATCAGTTTTGAAATTATATTCCAATTCGAAATTGAAGCAATGATCTAATATTATTTAATTAGTATAAATATAATTTTTTAAACCTATATTCTCATATACGAGCCTCAACCACAATTAATTGTTACATCAAGCTTTTATTTATGGCATGTAAAGAATTTGCATACCTATTCTGATTTATATATACAATTTTTATATCATTCACTTTTCCTTTAAAGCTCAACTACTTACCGACTGATTAGTTTTTCTTATACTTATACTAGCTTCAAAGGTCCTTCATCTCTTTCACTCTAAAGCACAATTGAAGTGCTGCCAACTCTTATGTTAATCGCATACGAATTCTTTACACTTACGAGCCAAACTCTTAAGCTCTTTTCAGTGCTGACAACTCTTAAAACTGAAATGTTAAAACGTTGTCACCGCTCTGCAATTCTGAGTGTGCTCTTATAACAAAGTGAAGCACATCACTTTTTGTGCAATTTTAATTAAAAATACCAGCGGTAAAAAAGTGTTTGGAAATGAACATCATATCATATATTGTTTTTTAATGCCTGACCGCACAGACGAATGCGACAGGGCTGAAAGGCACAGCAATGAACATAAATATAAATGGCCAGGGGGGGAGAAGTGACACACGGCCTGACTGATGGACTGCCAGTTCAGATCTGTCCACCTACTTACTTGGACCACCCTGTGCCGCAGTTACTAAACTGCTCTGATGAACTCTTGTTGTTGTTGTAGTTTTTGGTGTGCTTCAGTTATCATTTCTGTTAGTTTGCGCCTGAACGCCTCCGTTTGTTTTCCTTAACGATTCGCGCTCCACTGACTCAGCAACATTGAAACCTTCACAAGCCGAGTGCGCGTTCTGTTTGATAGCTAGAATAGGTTATGGTTTATGGTTTACCCATAGGCGCTGACTGTCTGGATTTGCATTGACTTTTGGGCCAACTGAAAATGGGAAATGCCGCAATCCAAGCTTATGCAAAGCAGCGCCTTATGCCAAGGCATATTCATCTGCGTTTTTATGGCATCACGTGCGACCATGGAGCGAGCCGGGATTATAAAATACTCGTATCTATAAACACTTTGAGATGGCCCAACAGCAGAGCCTGCAACTGTTGCTTGACAATTTACTCACACACGCTCACTAATACTAAAAGTAAAATCATGTTGCCATTTCCAGAACCACGTTACATATTGTTTAGCTGCATCTTTCGTTCATACCTTTACCCCTTGGCGAAATTTAACGAGCTCCTAACTTTATGTTTGCTTGTCATGTACACATTTTGTTTTTATTGGAGACCCACCAACTCGTTGCCTCCAATAAGCCCGAATGCCTTGTTTAAGTGAAACATTTTTTAAAGCCAACTTAGAGGCGTGCTCGCTGAGCAAAGACACACACGCGCCATTCAACAGTTTTCAGTTAAAGCTAATGCAAAAAAATGAAAGAAAAATATAACACGACAAGAAGTTATATTTCGTATTTTAGAAAATTAAATACTCTTATTGACATAATTGAAATGTTGTTTTATTCGATTATTAACTAAAATATTGGTGAATTTTAACAAAAAAAAAACAGAAAAAAAACTGCACGTTACGCACCTCTTTTATATCAGCTTTATAGTATATTCGGGTCGATTTTTTATTAATTTCTTTAAACAATTTGTGAAGATATTTATAAGAAAAAAAATTAAAATAATCTTTTAAAATCAGATAATATCTTTTATAATATACAATCTTATACACATTGTGCTGCGATCTGATTCACCAGACTTACGTAAAAGGCTTCCGTTTTTTATTACACAAATGTCATCTGGTGGACTTCTTTTCTGATTAGAGATCAACTGATCCAATTTTCATTAGTGCATGTGTTTCTCGCAATGTGTTACATTTCTCTTGATACATTTTTAATACCCTTTGGGACTATATTAGGAAACCCAAATGCGATATGTTGTATCAACTAAGGCCTAATACAAAACAAATTATTCAAAATACCTTATGGTATCAGAAGAGTCTCTCGCAATATGTGACGCATCCCATGACATAAATTGTATACTCTTTGTAAGTTTGCACGACAAAACACACCAAAAATGTGTATGAGTAAAAAGATTGAGATGTTATATATACCACATCCTAAGCCTTATCAAGTTAATAAAAATATCTAATGGAATCAGCGGAGTCTCTTGCCATGTGTTTCATTTCCAATGACATAGTTATTGTACTCTTTGTAAGTGTATGGGAAAAACTCCCCAAATTCGAATGCGAAAAGGACTGACATGTGCTCTCGAGTTTGCCATTTGTCGTTGTTGTTGTAGTCGTTGTTTTTGTTGACGTTGTTTGGTTGGTTGGTTGTTGGCTAAGTACGAGTTTGAGGGGGTCTCCTCGGGCAAATGCAAAAGCCAAATCGAAAGTAAACTTTTTAGCTTGGCTTCTGCTGAACGCCATTTGCTTATAAATTTAATTTGTCTTAGGCAAAAAGTCTGTCGACTTGTGTTTTGCATTTGACTTGCGAAGCTCAACATACATTTTTTTGCCAAAAATTTATTCAGCATATTTAGTTAATCCGCCAGGTCTGGCAGCAGCCAACTGATAAACTAAGAATTTAAGCGCTCACAGCTATGGATTATGGCAGAAACGAATTAAAATCTTTAACACACGCGAATTGCGAACACTAGTTGAGACCTGCGATGAAATATGAGTTCATGCATGAGAAGCGGCTGAAGGTTAAGCGACGTTAACGAAATAATACTCTCTAGAA